TGAATAAGGGTTCGCTGCAAACCGGTAGGCAATCCCGTGTCAGCCCTCACTCACAGCAACAGCTATTTCGCGGCCATTACTGAGTGATTGGCCACCGATTTGATGGGTTTGTGGCGACAGTCGACTCATTAATGTAAAGTTTTTTAGTTTGGATTTTAGTTTCATTTTACTCTCAGTTTTGTGTAATGTTTTCAAATCTAAACATTAGTTTTGAGTTTTGAATCTATTTTTGACTTTTAATCAAATTCTAAATTTTTATTATCCTTTGATTTATTGATTGATTTTTTAATTTTATTTTAAGTCCGAGTTTATTACAAATCAATTATTAGATGATTTTTTATTTTTGTTTTTTATTTTAAATTTGTGGTTTGACTGAGCATTTAATCAAATATACACTTATGATACTAATCACAAGTTTTTATTTCAAATTGTATTGTTTTTCTTATGAGAAAATCTCTTAAACATTGTATTCATTATTATTATAACCCTTTTGCTAATTATAGGAATTTTTATTCAATGATTCATTAGTTTTTGTATTAATTGTTTAAAACGAGACTTTTATATAACATATGGTAATATGAATTGATATGTAATACGAAATCAAATGTATNAATCACAAGTTTTTATTTCAAATTGTATTGTTTTTCTTATGAGAAAATCTCTTAAACATTGTATTCATTATTATTATAACCCTTTTGCTAATTATAGGAATTTTTATTCAATGATTCATTAGTTTTTTGTTTATTAATTGTTTAAAACGAGACTTTTATATAACATATGGTAATATGAATTGATATGTAATACGAAATCAAATGTATTTCATTTTGAACACAAGATTACAAACATTGACTTTAATTCAAAATCACTTATTTGTGACCATTTTATACAAATAAATAAAAATATTAAAATTCACATTCAATTCGCAATCATTTATAGTTTGAGTGTAGAAATGAAAAGTTTAGACTTTTTCATAAGTAATGAAAGTATAAGTCATTTGAATTCAACGGTCGCTCATTTGGACCGTAATTATCACCAGATTTCGGACACCGAGTGGTGGTTCGAGACAATTATAGTGACCTTTCAATACATTATCATACCTTTCCTCACATTACTGGTGGTCTTAGTATTACTGTACAAATGCTGCTATGATTTAAAGATAATGTTAACCAAAAGCCTGTGCACTGAGACTAATGTCTCAGAGAAGTCCAAAATGATATTCCCTCCACCGAGTGGACAGACATACGTCAAACTGGCCCTACATTTGAAGAGAAAAGACCGCTATTCAGAGACACAAAGTCCGGCGATTTGTTGATTAATAATTAAGTTGATTATAAATTGTGTTTATTTTTAGCTAAAATCACAATAAACTGCTATTAATGTTGAAATTCATTTGACTTATACTGTAGTAATAGCTATGCTATTGGAGTGCAATATTAGTGCAATTAAATTGATTCATACAAATAATGTATATGATTTGTTTATGTTATAGTTTTAAGTAATATAAAGTTTATATTATAAATACTGTATTGCATTATATCTATTGATAACATTTTACTTATACATTAAATTAGTTAATTCATGGCTAACATCAAGAGTTATATAAATGATATAATTAATATTTCTCGATAACTATACTAGATTACAATATACTGATGAAATACTGTATTGAGAAGTCCAGGGTTAAGTATTTAACCGTTGAGGACTCGCATAATAACTATTAATATACCAAAACTTTTTGATTGTCATCCACTGTGTGGTAATTGGCTTAATAATAGTAAGCCGGAGCGATAATATCCAGGACATTTTACAGTGAGTCGACTCGCATTCAATGTTTTGATTAAAACACTTTAATTCATACTTCAATTTGTTTTCATGAAATGAACTCTATTTTCAAACTAAACCTCATTTCGTATATAAATTGAACGCAACTCTTGAGCTCACGTTAAGTCAATGTTTGGCAGAAAACTCATAACATATTTGTCTGTAATTAATAAAATCACAAAACTTCCCAAAGTTTGTGTCAACGCATACGCCATACGAAGAATGTCTGCCAACAGTCACTACAAACAGATCCAAGTGTTGAACTACTCGACCAACTTCGCTGAGGCGACTAAAATAGTTTCGCTGCCTTTAGTGGATCCCAAAAGTGATGAAATACTTGTGAAGAATCTCTTTGTGGGCATCAATGCCACGGATCTGAACATCACTGCCGGACGTTATTTCAAACACTCGGACCCGCCCTATCCCCTGGGCTTTGAAGTAATGATTCAGATTTGACCACAATTTTCATAACTATATCTTTATTATCATTAAAATATTTCACTTATTGATTAGGCTCTGGGACAAATTGTCAAGACTGGAAGCGCTATCAAGGACTACAGTGTCGGTCAGTACCTGGTTGTAATGTGTGGTAGTGGTAGACTGAAGGGATATTCAGAGTATTTGGTGATTACCGCTAATTAATGTTATATTATATAACTTTCTAACCCTTACTATACTCACCATTCATTTGACCCAAAAGTATGTGACGTCTGCTGACGGCCTGACAGTCGTCCCAAAGCCAGACCCGGAAT